TTTCCTGAGTTCACCATGAGTTAACGGCACATTGTACTTAAAAGATTGGGTTCTAAAATATTAGTTTCTGATATTTAATATCTTCTGCTTTTCATGGACTATGAAAAATAAATACCTAGTGACTTTGAAATGAGATTTCAATTCTCATATATCATAGGAACAAAGCCCTCCTGATTTGTATTCATATACATATTTTATTTATTTATTTATTTATTTATTTTTATTGAAACGAAGAAATTTGAACATAAATTTTTTCCCTAACAGTTTTACCCTCTGTTTCCCATTCCACAATCACATAGTCAAGGTGTATATCTCTCCAGTACATGCATATATGTATATGTTCACATGCACAAGTGTATGTATATAACTTTTTAAATAAAATTGTGACTATACAGAATCTTCTAAATCTGGCATTTTCACTTAGAAATCTTTTCATATTTAGGACTCTGTTTACCTGGAAAGTTGACCTTTTCTTTTTAATAGCTGCATATAATAATCTATGACATGGATAGACATATTTGATAAGCTCCTAGTTGATGAACACCCAAGTAATTTCAAGTGTTCATTATTACAGACAACTGCAACATTATTGAACATATGTCTTTTACATGTGTGTTGATAATTTCATAAAATAAATTCAGAAAGGCAAATTTTCTACTTGAAAGAGTTTGAGCAAAATTTTTTAATCTCTTTCTATAAGAGAAAAAGTGTGTTTTGAATGTAGGGGTGCATAGACAATGAGAGAAGGACCACCAGAATATTGGAGTTCTCTGGATAATAAATAATGGCTTTCATATTCTTTTTTTTTTCTTTTATTATTCATATGTGCATACAAGGCTTGGGTCATTTCTCCCCCCGCCCCCACCCCCTCCCTTACCACCCACTCCACCCCCTCCCTCTCCCCCTACCCCCTCAATACCCAGCAGAAACTATTTTGCCCTTATTTCTAATTTTGTTGTAGAGAGAGTATAAGCAATAATAGGAAGGAACAAGGGTTTTTGCTGGTAGAGATAAGGATAGCTATACAGGGAGTTGACTTGCATTAATTTCCTGTGCGTGTGTGTTACCTTCTATGTTAATTCTTTTTGATCTCACCTTTTCTCTAGTTCCTGGTCCCCTTTTCCTATTGGCCTCAGTTGCTTTTAAGGTATCTGCTTTAGTTTCTCTGCGTTAAGGGTAACAAATGCTAGCTAATATTTTAGGTGTCTTACCTATCCTCACCCCTCCTTTGTGTGCTCTCGCTTTTATCATGTGCTCATGTATATGATTTGTATTCATATACATATTTTAAATATCCAGGAAGAATTTTCTGTGTTCTGTGGTTTGGCTTAGGGCTACTCTGACTTTGGCAGGTTCTACTTAACTGGTGAGATTGAACATGATCAACTGATTGCCTATCTCACTGCTTCAGAGGACATATTACTAGTTAGGAGATCAAAGGAAAATACAAGAGCTAGTTTAGGATTACATTTTTTTCCTATTTCAGCCACATTGTTCTCATTTAGGTGGTGAATTTGTGCTTGCCAACTGGAATTCCTAATATTCATTATAGAAATAAATAAGCATGAATTCATTTCTACTTCTTAGAAATATAAAATAATACCATTTTAAAAATCTCTATAAAAAGCATGCTATGAAATTCTGCACTCCAATGCTATTTTTCACATCTGCACTTATTATGGTCTTTATGTTTACTAATCTATTTTCTTACCATCTATCCCAAACTATTACTCTATTTTCCTCTAAAAGTTTTAACTTATTATAATTATGAAATTTTATAATACTGTAACAGTTCTAAGAAATACTCTAGTCTGTCTTTTATTTTAATGAAATATTTCAGTCATTCAAATAATTCATATATCAGTAGTATACACCCCTGTGTTAAAAGATTTGACTTGAGAAAGAAAGCACTGTGGATTCAGGTGAAGCCAGGTGTGATGTGTTCCAATCTCATTAACCTACTCCTTCCCAGAGGTAATCTCTCTACCCAGAGTTTTATCTTTATCATTATCCTACATGTTGATACACTTTTGCTACCTATGCATGTGTTCAAAATTAATTGATGTAATTACATTTTGCATGTCTTTAAATTTTATTTATACATAGTATCATCCCACAACATGCCTTTTGCTATAATATCCTAATTTTTTGTCCTTACTTTATCTTTTTAGATTTATCTGTGCTCACTCAAATAGCTATAACACTTTCATTTTTCTCTTTACTCTTTCTAATATTGCAGTATGTAAATATTTTATAAATTCTTTGCCCACTTATTTATCTAGAGATAGTTAGACTGTTTTTATTTTCCTTGTTCTTTTAACAGTTGTTTTTAGGAATGGAAAGATTTGATTTTAGGTTATGAGAGTTTTCAAGTGTTGCTAAACTAATTTCAGCAGTCTTTGTAATCTTAGCTTTCTATTCTTCATTGTTTCCCCATATTCTCATCAACATTTGGTATTATTAGATTTGTACATTTTTGCCAATTTCATCGATGTGAAATCATATTTTACCATGCACCTCTCTAATAACCAGGGAGCTTGTGCACTATCTTGAAATGTTTATTGGGTATTGAGAAACCTCTTTTCTCAATGGTTTGTTCATCTCCTTAGCCCATTTTTTGTCATTTTTGATGATATTGGGGATCGAACTTAGGGCCTCAAGCTTGCTAGGCAAGTACTCTACCACTTAAGCTATACCCCCAGTCCTTCTGTCATATCTTTTGAAATAGACTTATTAGAAATGTTTGTGTATTTTGGATACTAATCTTTGATTCTATGTATTGCAGATATCTTCTCTCAGTCTAAGGCTTAATTTTTCAATGTATATTATTTTATATTAATATATCAAATTCTAACATTTTTCATTTATAGACTTGTGTTTTTGTGTTGTTTCATAAATTATTCTCTTCTCATCTACCCCAAATCATTAGCTACTTTCCTCTAAAAGTTTAAAATTTTTTTGTCTGCGTCTTTAGGAATTTAACTAAACTTAAATACATATTTAGGTGTGAAGTTAAAATCTAATATTAATATTTTTCATATGCATTTTCTATTGTCAGAAGAATTCATCATTCTTCACTGCTCTCAAAAGTCACCTGATATTTATTAAGTTTTAATAAATGAATGATATATTTCTGGGATTTTGTTTTTGTTCTGGACTAGTTTCTTTGAACCAAAGTTCCATTGTCTTAGTTATGGTCATATTATATTATGTCTTAATAGTTTATATGGACATGCCGCAAACCTTGCTCTTTAGATTGTATTAACAATGGTTTTGCTGTTGCAAACTCATTTTAGAATTAACTTTTCAGGTTTCTTGAAAAACTGTACTGGGATTTTAATAATAATGTTATATTAGTATTATAGACTAGTTTATGGTACCGAATTTCTCCATTCAGGAGCATGACAACATGTTGATTTATTTTGATTTTTAATAGTTAAATTAACTATAAGCCAAAAAATTACTGCTCAGTCACATAGCTGATTAATAGCAAACTAGTGGTGAAGGAAAGTCTCTTGACTCTTTAGCAGTTCATACTAAAAGTCTTAATTATTTAGTCAGTTAAGAAAGATTTTCCAGTTTTTGCTGCCCCAGAACTCATTAGCATGAAAGCAAATCCAACTTCTCTATTTTACCAGGCCCTTGATAAGGCATTGTCAGAGGGCTTATTAGAAATTGAGTCTCATCCCTTTCTTGGTCTTACAGAACTAGAATCTTCATTTTAAAAAGACTTCTGGGTTATTGATAGGTGCTGTGTTTTGAAACTTTGTGAAGTACTGCTTAGGAAAACAGAGTTCTCAAATTCATCACATTGATTCTTTTACTCTGAAACCTGTCAAAAACCCATCTAGTAGTGGTGAGGTCAGTGGATTCCAGAGGACTCAGGTAGCAACATGGAGACCTATATCGCAGTGCTTAGTTAGGTCTTTCTCTTTGACTTCAGACTCACAGGTAGTCATTGCCTGCTTTTATGAGTGAACGTCGAAAGTCCAAGTGATAAAAGATTGTCTAAAAATGTATCTCTATAACCATATTCCTTTATAGGAAATAAAAACATATTATGGGCTTTTCTAAAAGCATCATATCTCAGGAAGACTGAGGCTTTTAAAAATAACTATAGATGTTCAGAAAACAATACATTGGCCTTGAAGTCACCAAACTGCACAATACCGGCCTTTTGTTTACTAAATACGGTTGGGGGAAATTTTGACTACTGAGTTAGAAGCACAGAGACACTTCAGTGTAAAGAAGAAAGACCATACAGTTTCTTCAGGTAGTGTACTGTTCCTGTTCGTCTTAGTTCGGCCTTCTTCTCTAATTACAACAGCAGCTACTTATCTGGTGTGGGGGGGGAGGTGAAGAGGGGATGGAGGAAAAAAAGTGAGATTCCTGCAATATCGCCTCGAGCCACTAGGGGTACCTTTGTACCATTTTTCATTCTGCACCGATTTGGAGTAGAAACCTGTAATAGGGGAAAACCAGGGTCCTCGGCGTTTTTTTGAGAGCAGTGCACCCAGAATCCAAAGAAGAATATTTTTTTTTTAAAGACAGAAACCACAGTTCTTTTGGTCATCCGAACAGGCTACGAAATCGTTGTACTGGACATCAGCATTGGGAATTCATTTTTTGAGGTCAATTTCCAATCGAGATAAATCTATTGGATTAGAAGGATTATCTGATTGCAGCTGAAAGAAGTAACGTTGTTTGATCATTTGTATTTCTTGCCTGATGGTCGGATTTACATGGAGGTGGCTTTGGGTCCCCAGGATTCTGGATCGTGGTTGCATCTGGACAGAAAAAAGGATTAATCCACACGTTTTGGAAGTGTCCGTGGGTGAATAAAAAAAAAAAAAAAGATGGGGGGAAGCAAAACTGGGGTTGCGGCTGCTTAAGAGAAAAGAAAAAAAAAAAAGAGGAAGCATCTTGAATCCTGAAACAGGAATAACCGAGTGCTCCAGATTAAAAAAAAAAAAAAGCGCCTAGAAACTGGTAAATACTTTGATCATTTCGGCTTGAATTTGACGGCGAAGTGTTGTAGAAACTGTCTCCTTGAATACTGGAAGGGGACTGGGGGGAGATTCAAGGGCTCCCTGGGTGGATTTGTGTCGCGGAGGGTAAGTTTGTGGCTCTTTGGCGGGGAGGGGGCTGCGGGGCGTGTGTGGCTCTGCGTGAAAGGTGATGCGGACGCGGCGCTGTGGACCCGGCGCTGTGGACCCGGCGCTGTGGACCCGGCGCTGTGGACCGCGAGGGAAGGGGTGATGGAGAGCACCTCGCGCGTCTCGGGGGATCGCTGTGGATCTACCCCGATCCGGCTTCAAACCCGATCTGTGGCGTCAGTGGAGAAGCCGAGCAGCCCTTCAAGCTCTCAAGTTTGCATTGAAAGCCTCTCAGTTAGGAGATCCTCTCGGATCCAGGGCTTTCTCCTATGGATACTTTAAGGAGAGGAGGCAGCGGGGCCGTGGAAAACCTGCCCACGTAGACATCGCTGCTGCTTCGGCCGCGGTTGTCCAGGCTGTCTCGGCTTCTCGGGGACTTTTGCAGCAGCGAGGGTGGGTTTGGCCATTTTCATGCAGTCTTTTTCTCCCTCCCTCTTTTCTTCCTACCTTTTCCTGCCTCCCCCTGTCCTCTTAGTCCGACACTCAAGGGTTACAGGGTCACCGCCTCGGATAGAGACAGCAGAAGTGGCTGGCTGGCCTCTCTTGCTGTCTGTAATTCTCTTGCACGACTTTTCATAATGCAGTCCAAGGTAACTTTCTTTGAGTTGGAGGAGCCGGAGATGTCTTTGCAGGCTATTTAGCCCACGGCCCAGGCTGGCGAGTGCGCCAGGGAGCCGGCTGCATTTCCGATGCTTCCCTGCCTGGCCGGCCTCTCCACTTACTGGCTTTTCTTTCCAACTGTGTAGTGAGCGCCTTTCCAGATTTGTTTTTTTTTTTCTTGCAGCTGAATTTAGAGATTCTTTTTTACTTCAAAAAAATTTCTAACTCTCAAGAACGGGTCATCTTTGCAGTAGGAAGTCAATTCTAGCAGTTATAATTGAAGTTAACCACTCAAATGTGTGAATATTATTTGATTTGGGAAACTAAAAGTTGTTTTGGAATCTGGAAAAGAATATTATTCTCAAACAATTTAGGAGTTCACGTAGCTTCAGAGCAATTGCATACAAAGAACTATTTTACGATATGTCTATGGATGTGTCAATAGATTAATAAAATTACCCTTAAATATCCTTTGACACCTCTGTTTTATTATTTTAGTTGGCTTTTTATATTTGAGGCCAATTCGTTAAATTTTAAACCATCAGACATTTAAATGTACTGAAATAAAATGGGAATAGATCATTGGTAAAAATGCAAAATGCTGTATTTTGTGTATTTTAATCTTCTGAAGAAAAGCGCTAGATATTTTTTCAGAGGTTTCTGTTTACACATTATGAAATGAATGCAGATACCTTCATGGCTTTAGCATTGACCTCTCTCCATTGCCTGGGAACTCACCAGAAAGGCAGTGTCATCCGAAGCACACTCATCCTTCACTATTTATTTCTGGGACCCCAAATACATCACACAATCTGATTATCAAAAGACGAGTCTTACCAAACTTTTCTCCTGGATTTTTGTGTGTATGTGTGTTTTGAGACCTAATTCTGAAGCAAGCACATTAAATGTGTGCTTTTAAGATGAAATTGCCAAATACAAAACTTCTGTCTCCCAGGAATTCTAAAGTGGAAAAGTTAGGTATTTCCTATGTCTTCACAATTTGTGTAAGCCTTTCTAAAGGTTATAGAAATCACAAGAAATAGTTTCTGCAAGCCCAATTGTTAGGTTCAAGATGTCTGAGAGGCTAGCTTTTGCCTCTTTTTTACAAGGCTCTAAGTCACGTGGTTTGTGTGCAGACTGGAACTAGAAGAATAGATGTTCTGTGTGTTGGTTCATTCTAGCCACTAATCCTGACCACATACTTCAATAATATCTAACATCTTTTTTCAAAGGTTAAATTAATATAAAGGCAACTAGCAAATAACATTAAATGATAATAGCAAAAAAGTAATGAAGGTAAGTAGTAGTGGGCACTTGGATTTCTCTTTTTAGGGCTATAGAGAACACAAGTATTGATATGAGTGATGATAAATTTGCAACATGAATAAAGGAGGTCCATTTAAAGGTAAATTTGAATATTTTGAAACCACTAAACTTGTGGTTAATGCATGCACCTTTGTGCTAAAGTGAAAGATTTAGCTAAATGCCCCTTTGCAGTGGTTGGAAACTATGTTTCTTCCAAGAATAATTGATGTTTTCTACTCCTTCATTACATTTTCTTTGGACAGTGAAAATGAAAAGGGAGAAACTTTTGACCTGCTCTTTAATATCATATACTGGGAGGGCTGCATTTTTTGTTCCTACCTACAGCATTTCCTACCCAAAACTTTGGTAAATCTTATAGGTAGTAAATTCACATTAGAAAGCCAATATCAATGGAAATCACATTTAAAAAAAAACTATACACCACAAGAAATGTAATAGATGTAGTCAGTAAATAAAGAGCAAGTTCCACAGTTAGAGAAATGTTTTTCCTAATAGAGTGAACCATTTTAAATGTTGAAAAAACTGAAGAGTTCACTTAGAAAATTAATTAATTTTGCTCTGTCATATCCAAATACATGGTTTTGACCATGATTCTTAAAAGAAACATGGTGGCCCAAGTGGCTGTTTTAATTTTATATTAGAGTAACACAGAATGTGTTCATTTGGGGTAAAGAGATAGAAGTTCTCAATTAGTTCTGAAAAAGCATCCTTCTATGATTTTGAGATGCTTAACTACATTAAATGTGATTTCACATTAATTTTTAAGTGAAATTACTATGTTCTTAATTCAAATCAAAATGTAAAAGGTAAATTTTTAATGATTTGTTGAAATTTAATATATGGTATTCCAAAATGCAAATCTTGCATCTCTTTTGCTTTATTGAGAAGTGCTTTAAGAAGGCCCAACTTTCAGTTAATTTAAAATTTTAATTTTAATTTCAGACTTGCAAAACCCAGATCATTATTAAATAACTGAATGTCCATGATGAATCGAGGGTATTCTTTTCATCACTTCTTAAAAGATCATTTAAGAGGTAGCCAGCCTCTTAATGTTGAGGGATAGTGACATTAACAACTGTTTCTTTCTTTCTTCTTTTTTAAAGCATGAGATCCTATCTGAAAAACAATGATGTTTCTTAATTCCTAAACAGAATGCCCTTTAAGCTACATCATTACCTTTCTCTTTAGCCTTTATTTCTTTACAGTCAACCCATAATCAAACCAATAAATACAAAAACTACACTACATTTTTAGGAACTTTTCCTAAGAATGATTCCTTAATAGTAAAAAAAAGTTTGTTGGACTGCTTTTGTCTTGTTTTTAATGATACCATGTTGACAACGTCAAATATTACTATGTTGCTATAAAAGGATATGGATTATCTTTGCTTTCAAGTGCCCTCCCCCAGAAAAAACGAAGGAAACCAAAACCCAACTGGGAGTGTTGGTCAAGTGGTAGAGCATGTTTCTAACAAATGCCAGATCCTGGGTTCAATCTCCAGTACTGCCAAAGGAAAAAAAAAAAGATCAAGAAAGTAAAGAAAAACCCATAAACCCATTTGGAAACAAAACTGTGAAAGAAAAACACTGCCAACTCGAAACATAACTGAAGTCAGAAAACTAGTAAATCATTCCAGGCATTTGAAATTATGAGACATTAAACTTTTGGGGGGGGCGATTATATGAATTCTTTTTATAACAGTCAATATAATTTCTTCTGTGCCTATTTTTGTTACATTTAAGATAAATTCTAGTTCAATGGGAAGCACTTTACTGCTGCCATTACTGCAGACTTTATAGATTAGAGATGTGTCAGTCAGCATGTTAGCTCTACAGTAATGCCTCTTTTGTGTGGAAACTTATGGGCCTTGCACGCCCTCTCTCATCCTGACACTCATAAAATGTTCAAGTCCCCGTATTTATTGTTTAATTTTCTTCCTATGTATAGCAAAAAAGCACTTCACTATATGAATGTGTAGCCAAAAAATGACAGGCAAGCATGAATGGGACTAATGAATTTTAATAATACACATATTAGGAACTGCGAAAGGAAGTTTAATTAAGAAAAACAAGTTAAGCATGAAATTCATTTTGGAGCAAATGCAAGTTAAGTTACTGGTACAGATGTAAAATCAAAAACCACAGTGATACATCACAGGAAATAAATTTGCAGTCTGAAACCAGGACTACTTAATGCAGGACTTGGTTTTTAGTTGATGACGTTAGATTTGACTTACAAAATAGAACAATGTATGCTTTTGAGAAGGGCTTCACTTTTCCTTGGTTTGAATAGCAATTTTAGTTAGTATTTTTACTGTGTGATACACCTTATTTTTTTGCATTCTACCTTAGTTTCCTTGTCATAGGTCACATAATAACTTCTTGATCCTGCTTTTCTAATGTTACATGTGCCTATGAGTAGAGCCACCTGCTGAAGTCTATGCCAGCCTTTGGAAGTGCTGGTAGGTGGTACTTTAAAAAGAGAACCACATACCTATAACATCATCTGCATCTGGAATTCTATTTAACTTTTTCATACTTTATAAAATAAGTGGGCTTATTTGGTTTCTTATTTACTTATTTAGGGTTAGTGGTGGAGGGGTAGGGAGCAGAAGTTGCAGAGGAAATATAATACAGAACAAGTATTTCCTTAGATGTGATTTTCTTACATTTGCCTTTATCTAAATAACAGATGCCTTCTAGAAATAGTGAAGAAATCAGCCAATTGTATGAGGGTCTCATATGTTCCTCAACAGCTGATTTATTCTTTATATAGATGTTTGACATCAGCAATTCTTTATTTGTTCTTGACACACATACTGAATGTTAGGTCTTTAGGAAGAATGAAGGAGGCTAATTATAATATTTTAAAGTGTATTGAAAATTGTTTTCTTTTAAATAGTCATGGAGAATATTTTCATATTGCCTTATGGAATACTCACTATGCTTGGTCACATACGAAATCAAGGAATATTGACTTGATTTTAAAAAGTTGTGATTATCACTAGTATAATGTTCCCCAATAAGGTGACC